GCCCCTGAGTTACTTTATCGGTCTTGTCAAATCAATAAACTTCCAACATTCATTGGTGGTTTGGTACATTATAGATTGCTTCTTCGAACACCAAAATACTCACTTGTGGGTTTAGTATCTACATGAATTGATTGCCTAATTTGCATGCGCGTGTTTTTCAAACTTCAAATATTATTACAAACCAGACATACACAAAAGCAGTTGTGTTTTCACTTTATTTTTTCAATCACACGCGTGTGTTCTTCGACTTTAAATACTGTCACAAAATCAAAAGGTGAGTGGCAATACTCGGTAAGCCACTAAGTATTGAAAAAGGGCAACTTTTTTTGCATCAAGTGAAAAAAATAAGTCAAGAAAGATATGTTCCATCGCTAAGAATACTCAAGTAAAACAAGAATGTGTCTTGTCGAAGTTTAGAAACTACATGATATGTATACCTTTATTATTACTATTTAGAACAATTATATATAAAGTTCATATAGAATCAGTGAAATTCGCAGTGGATGTATAATTTTTTTCAAATGCTGACATCGTAAATCAGAAGCATGAACCCAATGATCACCGCATTAATGTTTTTAACCTTCAACGAACATTAACATTACTTCCCATTCAGTTCGTTAATTCTTTGATTGAAACCATAAGTATTCTTTTCTTCTATTGGAGGGGCCGCCCCCCTCTATATCGAAAAAAAAAGTATTCTTCTCTTCTTTAAAACTTAATGAATCGAATCAAAGACATACATCGAATCAAAATGATGGCACATCTAAGAGCCCTAATTTCTTATAGTATGTTGAGACAATTGCATAGTGGCACGACACTCCCTAGCCCCTACATGAATCTGCCCATGTCTCTATTCCTTCCTATTAGAACAACTAAAATTAGAATGCATCTTGTCGAAACTTAAGTCTCTTTGTCTCGAATACATAGGTAAGCTCTGCATCCAACTTCTCCTTCCGAGTGAAAATATATTGGTTTGGTTTGGTTTGGTTTGGTATGGTTTATTCAAAGTCCATTGTTAAGCATATTCTATCATCTTGGTATAGTTATCGTATTCCAAAATTATACACAACCACTTAAAGATGTGTTTTTGTTATCATCTAAAAAGATTAGTCCTATACGAAATAGTCATCTGATATTTTTTATATATAATAAAAGTACAACCTAAAACTTACTCAAATCTAGGTCAAGGTCTTGTGCTATTCAAACTCCATAATAATCGCAATCTCTAATGTACATAAGATGTTAACTAACATTTAACCCGTCTTAGTGTCGCTAGTTTCATTCCCCACCAAGGACCTGATGTACATGCCGACAAATAAAAATGGTTAAGCTTAATGCCTAATGAGTTCAAATAGTTTTCATTATTCAATATAAAACAATATGACTGAAAGATGCTTTTTAAATCACAATTTCCCAAAAGGAAGGTATTAAATATAAAAGTGATATCTTTCCAAAACCCACCATTTTCGTGATGAAAACTCATTAATTAAAACACTCATCTAACATGAAACCAAAACGCAATACTCACACAAAATGAGAATAAGGATTAATATTCAAATACTAAAAACATGGATAAAACTCTATTATCCAAAACATTAAAACATGGAGAAGATCCGACATACCAAAATCATAAATTATGGATATTCTCCAAACCTAAAAGAAAACCAAAACATGGATAATACACTATCCAAGAATAACACCTGTTGGTGACCGGGAGACCGGTATCCATCGAATGTGGCTAACATAAAGTAAGTCATACATCAATGTTATCAAGTAGCACCTCAAGACTCATGTCCTTAGTGCCCACTCCATCAGGTAGCACCTCAAGGCTCATGACTCTTAGTGGATACCACTCCGGGTAGTACCTCAAGACTCGATAATCTTAGTGCGTATTTTTTGGAGTCTAATTTCAAGGCTTATGACCTTAGTGCCTACCTCTCGAGGTAGAACCTCAAGGCTCAAGTCCTTAGTGCCTATTCAATCGGCCAAAAGCCTCAAAACAAAGGTACCCAAGTCCGAATCGTTTGAGTTCACCTCCCCAATACCTATGGTCTCGTAACCCCATATGGGTCCCTCTCCGCAATACTGACACGACCACCATGCTTACTCGAGCACTGGTCTCAGAGTGAGAACATTAAAACTCCCCACCCATCATACGATTGACACACATGTTTATGGATCCGTTGCGTTATAGTCTAAAATCACATGACTTCAAATGAATGACCAATAGGCTCACAACATATAATTTCCAAATAAATATACAATAGCTGCAATATACGTCCAAAATCAGCATTGAGTAATTTAAATCGAACAAGTGTCCCCACAAATAGACCAAAATCAATCCAAATACACCACACGTATTTGACTACTCAAATAAAAGTCAAATAATCAATTAAACATATTTAGCTCACGTTTATGCAAACACATGATATAATAGTATGGTTAACACCAAACCCCCCCTCCTTTATCGAAACAAATTATTTTCCAAATGAAAAAAAATACATTTCACACTTCCAAAATGTCTCATAGCATAATAATGTGCATTTACAAACGGTTTATAAACCAAATACACTAAAAGTGCATTAATCATCAAATAATTATCATTTATACGATAAATCATGAAAATAACATACTCATTGTCATGTATTTGTCAAAAATGTTCAGAAACCCCAAATGTAAGCATTTTACAATATTTAAAAGTAAAATTTTCCAAAGATGCAGATCACATCAAATACTCAACACTTTTGACAAATATCATGAAAAAATCTTTAAGGCTTCAAAGTAAACATTTTTGACATGTACATAGTTTTCACAAAGCAACTTGAACTCACATTGTTAGGCTAAGTAAACCTATTTCTCAAAATTCATTCTCTAGCTTCCATTAAAGAAAGCTTGAGATCCATAAGTAGAAATCTTCAAACAGTCATGACAACCATCTAAACCCAACATAGCACCAAAACCCACCGTAAGATTAGATCCATAATATAACCCAAACTAGATCTCAAAATACCCAAAAATCCTTACCTCTTTCAAAACTTGAGATCAACAACCATGAATCTTCAATATCTAAATGTTTTCTTCCATTTGCTCCAAAAGTTCCAAAAATCCGGCCCCAAAGTCATCCAAATCGTCCATGGTGAAGAGAGGTGAAGAAGAGAAGAGATGGTAGGGAGAGAGTGATGAAACCCTAAGAAAGATAAGCCTAAAAGTTCATCTGGGCACGAATGCGACTTTGGCCTTGGCCAAACCCACATCAAAAGTCGGCCACACCTGTTTCTTGAGCAAACAGACCCTAAAGCGGGTTGTGGTGCAGCCAAACCTACTTGGTAACCCGCATTGGCCTCTGGTTGACTTCTAAATGCCTCTTTCTTAGATCTTAACATATAAATTCGTTCCATATCAATTCCCAACGATGCAACTTGATGAAAAGGGGTATATTAAAGATTAGAATAGCTACCAGAATACAAAGACAACGACATGCCAAAAATTCTATGTTAGATATTAATCACAATGATTAGTCTTTCTAATCTCTCTCTCATGATTATCTTAAGTACTAATAATCATGATTATTTCTCTAAGCACTTTTAATATGCATACACGTGTCCAATTAGGGATATTGATCCTTACATTAAGCTAAATTGGTTTAACAAATTATTTTTAATCTTTTAAATAAGGCTATTTCATAGTATAGGTTATAGTATTTACATAATAAATTATTCACTGGGTATTAATTTACGTATCAATTTAATCGATACCATTGCAATCGGCTGGTAGTGCCCGACGTACCAATTATAAGAACTTGATTGGTATACAATATTGGAAGTCTCATACCTCAGTAGTACCATGATACCGACCTATTTAATAATTTATTAGTTTTTATATTTTTGATGTATTAAATATTAAAATCATAACTTTAAACTTTTATGTTTAAGAATCTGAACGTTTGTAAGATTTATTCTTTGCAATTAAAAGAACCCTTAAACATGACATATTACCTGCAAACTCAAAATTTGATAAAATTGCAAGTTTTCATATATATAACTTGAAGTTGGTAAAAAACCGTCCGAAAACAGATGGTACTAACTATGGTTAACTGGCACACGGTTTAAGATTTTGTGTAACAATTATAATTGATTGGTATACAAATTAACCTCTAAGAATAAGTTTCAGTAAAAAAAAAATTGTTAATTTTTTTTAAATTATAATTTAGCAGCACCTAAAAAATAAAAATAAAAATAAAAAATAAGAAAAGAAATGACACTTTCATGAACAAAAATGAAAAAGAGTGGAATTAATGATGGTGTTCAATAGTTTTTGTTTGGATGTGTATTTTTCTCAAACCAACATTTAAAATCCAAAGACACATGAATGGCACCAAATGGACCTTTCAACCACTACAATGGCAATGTGTCATTCCTCAACCTCAATACCATAAAACCAATGGGACACATACAACTACATACCAAACAACAATTCCTCTATTTAAAAAGTTAATTTTTTTTTTAAATTTATATTGCCAACCGGAAAACCAATAACAACATGCCACATTTCCTCATTCATCATGAATAATATACATGATAAATGACGTGTCCATATTCAACATGCACATATACATACACACATACATATATATATATATATATATATATACATCTTATTAAGTGAATCTGAATAAATTGTTATATTGGGGTACAATTAATTTAATGTCGAATTTATACGACATAAAGATGGATGCGGGTTTTGGTTAGATGTTGTTGGTTAACTCGGTTGTTGTGTGTTTTTTGATTTATTAAACCTTAACAACAAAGTTGTAAGAGACCATATGATTTGGTTAAAACATGTCTACAACATATTTGGTCCCTCTTTCATATATCATTCAGTACACACACCCCACACCTCACACCTCACAAACGCCTCTCTATCAAATGAATATGACGTTACACAAATACAGTCATTCAGACGTGTGGCATGTGAGATTTTATATATCAATTCGTCCTGCATGCATTAAAAAGTAGATCTGTAACCTCCTTATAAGCTCAAAGTTGTAGACTACCAATAACGTTCACCATATTTTTTTAAATTGAGTTCAAAGTTATTACGGCTACATTTTCTTAATTCGCATTTTACTCATGATTATCTTCTAAAAACTCGGGATCCTTCGGCTTTGGCACCGGGCTATGAATGACATCGTTGGATTCGAATATGCGGCCTCGTCTTATACTTGTTGCCAACATCGACAAACTCGCCCCCTTCTTACTTGCTCGGTTCAGCTTGTTGCTTATGGTCGGCGTGTTGGAAGTCTCTTTAGCCTTAAGCATAGCAGCCTCGTTTCGCCTTTTGTACCGTTTCCAGGCTGCTTGTATGAAGCAAGCGGCCCAAGTCCTCCACTGGTGTGAGTGAACCCTGAACGTGTGCCGCAATTTCTTGCTGTGCAGCTTACGAAACTGCGTGGCGACAAATTTGAGGTCTTCTGAGGTGAGAGCGAAAGCTTCCACCTCAGAAATGGCGGTGACTGTGCGTGTGGATGATGGAATGATGACGCTTGGGCGTGGGTCCAGTGCCCACGTCAGCAATTCCTCACCACAAAAGTCACCGGGCCCAATCTCGCACTGGTTCAAGAAACCAGAGCGACCTCCACCTGTCGTGTAGGAATCCAAGTGACCACGCATGATGAACAACATCTCGTTTGTGGGGTCCTCTTCTCGAACTAGGCACGTTCCCGGTGTGCATATCACGGGTTTTAGTCTTTCGCATATTGCATCCACGGTGCGTTCATCCATTTGATCAAAAAGCGGAACCTATTTGCATTCACATAACTAAATTGAGCTCAAGTCCTCCCGACAAAATTAAAAAAAAAACCCCCGAACCAATTAAAGAACTCACCCTTCTAACGAGCTCTGCGCAAACATAACGCTTGATATCTCTCCTAATATCTAAAGGAAGGGCTCGGAGGATTTCTTCTTCATCGACCCCTCGAGTTGTAATCCATTTGTAAAGATCGTGTTTGCGAACCCGCTGCCTCAGTTCGTCTGGCAGATGCCGGTGGTGCATCCATTGCTCGGTATCCATCCGTTTCACCCGATACTCCTCTAGTCGCTTAGTTCTAGACTCGAGATATTGCTGTTTTTCCAAAATAAACATATTGTTTTTAACTCGAAACATACGTTTTCAGACCACGAAATGTTGAGGAAAACCCGACTTACTTGCATATTGCCAATGAGCAAAGCAAACAGTACCAATCCAGTAATCCCAATGAGTATGCAAAAGTGTGTTTCTGCTAGAAATGGACTTGCTTGAAGTTCTTGGCCTGCTGAACTGCAAAACTTGGTTTTAGAAATGCGTAATTATTACACTTTTTAACTAACTCATTGACAAATGTACCCTTAATAATAGAGGGTGTAATGAATTTCTCCATCTCATAACCAAGGGTAGAACCGGAAAGCAGACAGTAGGAATACTTTTTGAACGCTTATTTTGGGACAGATGGAACGTGATGTTTATAGCATTCGTATACGTTCAAGGCATATTAAAGATATCGATTTCTAAGGTTACCTTAAGCCTCTGAGACCCCACCAGAGACAGTAGGAATACTTTTTGAAGAAACCTGCCGAAGCGATACTGTATTGTACTGCATCCTCGACCAATCCGTACTGGAAGTTGTCCGGATCCGTACAAATACGTGAGACGTTGCTAGTTGGGTACCACGCTTCACGAAGCGGAAGATTGACGTTAACACAATCGAAATATTTGCGTTTGCATTCCGTTTCAAGATCGCATATTTCTACCCAGCATAGCCCTTGCCTCTCGATCGCTAGAAGATACCACATCGCTCCAATGACCTTCACAATACAAGAATCAAGAAACAGAATTGGATTAGTCCTGTACTCGGCTAGATTTTAATGCATTTCAGACATAATTTTGACTACAAGAGTCAGGGTTTTCTAGCTAGGACTCAAGATCGATTCACGGTCGTCTTTTTTTCATTCAACTCGCTACAACAAAATAGGTTTTATGGGACACCAAATACGTCTAAATGTTCTAATAGACTGCTTTATAGAACTAGAGTTTACAGACCAGCCGATTGTGCGTTCTATGTAAATATTTGGACATATTGACATCCTACAAAGCTGATTCTGTCGTAATGACTTGTCCTTTTTCTCCTTTTTGTTATGTTTGCTAAGAAGAGAGAGCTAGGAAAGACGAACATACATGAGCAGCCAACATAAAAAGCACGAGATTGTAAGCAGCCCCAACCCACGCTACATTAGCCACAAGACCGGCTTGCTTTGATATATGAGATCCGAGTCTAAATGTAAGATAAAGCCTCAGGAGGAACTGAATCATGATAAAGTATAGCACGCTGGTTTTCGTACTCATCATCGCCGTATTGACCATGTGGAACCAAGTCATCACCTGAAACAGTAGTTCGTTCATTCTTCAGTTGTACCATACACATTGAGAACGGATTTCTATTGATCTCTAAGTCCTAAAAGCGGGTTCTAGCCAATACCTGTGGAATAGGAAGCGTGGCCAAGAAATCGAGCCAAAATTCACCCTTCAGATACCTCTCGGAAATACTAGAAGAGTCTAGAATCAGCTCTCCTCTTCCAAGCAAGCGAGAAGAAGGAGCGACATAAGCTGTACGGAACCGAACGTAAATCTTGATGGCATAAAAGATATCAACAATCGAACGGATGATAGTGAGGGTTATCTTGAGGGTAACATTCTCATCCAGGCACATATCCTCCTTGATCACAGGCAAGTAAAAGAAAAGAGGATCTACAGCAAGCGAAATAAGGGCTGCAATCAGAAAAACTTGGTTCCATTGATTCAAAGGTGCGCCTCGAGGATCAAGAATCGTCTTGTTGGTTTTTGCGTAGTCCTCCGAGAACACTCTTGATAGCTTTCTCCCCAGTTTCAGATCATCATCTTTCTTCACAGATGAAGGATTAGGATTTGGGGTTTCAATATCAGCATCAAATCTGGTAGAAGAACCATCAAAAGTTTCAATCTTGTTAGCATACCGACAGGAACTAGAATATAGAAGAAATATGTAATTTCTCAACCTGACATATCGTTTAGAACTAGACATTTTGCTCAATGCAGCTTATAAACTCCAATCTGCTATGAACTGTAAATGATATTTTGCAAATTAGTCGGCCGAAAAACAAGAATATATACATCAAGATTTAGAGGACTTCAAACCTTAGAAGCTCACAGCTGAAGAGAACCGATCTTTTGTTAGAACTGTTGATGATCTGAAGGGCCAAGACCTGCAATTTATAGACTCAACCAATAGAAGATCGAGGGGGCATATTACTGAAATTGGCAACTTGTGCCGATTAACTGAAAAACTATTCAGATATGGGAACTGCCCTTATGCAAGAATTTGGGTTCTTATGTTTGTCTTCTATAAGTGGGTAGAAAACAGAACAGTAAAGATACAAGAAAAGGAATTTATCGATACAAACCAAGAAATCATTCAACTCTGATCCTCTTAAATATACTATTTCATCCCATGAAAATTGCGACATTTGATGAAATTATTCGACTATTAGCCTTAGAATTTCCTGTAACGTATCAATTTTCAGAGGGCGGAATCATTTATGAGGAAACAAAAGGAGGTTTAGTGAAAAAGACTAATCACAATAAAGAAGTTTTATAATGAAATGGAATTTGGGATCTTTGCATTCTAAATTATCCCAAAAAATGACATGCCAAAGACAATAATGGGGATACTAACAGTGTCGTAATATGTATAATAATTCTAGGTAACACTGCATTTAAGGATGATCTTGGTGTATTAAGCCCTTGGCTGTATGGGGTTGGCCACGTAAGGTTTTGTACATACATAATCTTTCGCGTTTATCAGCAAGTGGGGTCATAAAGATCTTTCTTTTAACACAACCAAGTTTCCAATGAAAGACCCATTTTTTCTAAAATGAAGCCGTTATCTGCATACGTTTGGCTCTGCCTGAGACCACCAGCTGACCAGTTGAAAACTTCTCTTTACCTACACAGCTATGATATGGCTTCAAATGTGTGTGTGTTTCGCTTTTGGCTTAAGCCATATCACTGGATCCTGAGTCTAGTTTTCTGAACCATTTCGTTGAATAAGTCTTGTGTTTCTGGCACTCGGATTATCTTAACCCAATAGCTGAACACATCTACTTGTAAAATATTCAAATATGCAGATAATTACTCTCATTGGACTTGATTCTTCAGTAAGAAATCAAAGATCAAACAGACTAATTTTCAACTTAGAAAAAGAACATAAAATCTTTAGATTTCATAAGGAAAAATTGATGCATACTGGGGCTTTGGAGCAAGTATAACCTGATAAGTTTAGATGCATCGCTTCTCTGTTGAAACAAGATCAACATTTTTCCAATAGTTTTATGAAGAATATATATATGATTAAATCTTGTGTGAACCCTGTTGCCGCAGTTCCAGATTCTCGATCCAAATACTGATCCATTGGCACTGATTTGACTGGTACAAATAGCAATGCACTAGGTACAAACAACCATGATACCAACACATATAGCAAGGAAGCAGTAAATACAGTGGATGGAGACGATAATGCTCACAAATGCAAAATCACATAACATTCTCCAAACGAATTCAATTTGCATACCAAATTGATTGATTACACATCAGTATGTAGTTTGAAAGCATATTAGAAGCATACATTACAAAACTTAACGACACTTATGAGACCTGCTAATCTTAATCACATAGAAAATGCAAGGACCAGCAGCTTCAGTATAAGCATCACTTCCTCTTTGGAACTGTAGCATGGTCCAGAAGTGCACCACCCCGACACACACACCTGTATTACAAGTATTGACCAATGAATTAAGAACAAATCAGAAAGGCCAATCTCAATGCAACCCCATTTTGAATGCTCCACACAAAACCGCATGTTTCCCATGTAGGGGAAGGTTCAAATGAGAACCATAAATATTTTGAGAATCACTTTATGCATTGGGGCATTGCATATACACCATAGGAGTTCCAGTGAGTATATGCACCAATGCATATATACTTGTATATAGTACATATACATTGTGACAATACATATTCTGATAGTTTATATGCATAATGCATCAATGCACATATATATACTGGTTCTCAAAATATTTTTTATTCTAATTTGAACTTCCCCTTCCCAAATATATTATACAAGTGTCCTAGTAAAATAAAACACAAGTTAACTGAACCATACCTTTTGCCGCTTGAGGCTGAAGGAACTACGATAAAGATTGTTTAGAACGAGCGCTTTTGTGGAGCTTCAGCAACGCTAACTCGGATATTTCTGCCATCAAGATCCTGCACCAGAAATTTAGTAGGATTCATGAAACATATACTCACATACACCAATTAAACAAAAGATGCTAAAAGAATCTTGAAGAAAGAAACAAAGATAAGGATAGACTTACAGCTCCATTTAATGACTCAATCGCATTGTTGACCTCATCAGCAGAACTGTAAGTCACAAACCCGAAACCCCTTGATCTACCACTCTCCCTATCATAAACTACCTTGGCTTCCATAACATTTCCTTGCTCTCTAAATAAAGTTTCAAGAGCCAAATTGTCAACACTCCAAGCAAGGTTTCCAACATAAACCCTGTTGGTGTTGTCGAAACTTCTCCCACCACCGCCAAAACGGCCGCCTTCTCTTGGCCCTCCAAAGGAAGATTCCTCTCTCCTTGGAGGAGGTCCAGAGTTCACCCTCAGTTGCCTCCCCTCAAGCTCCTGTGAATTTCAAAAAAGTTCAAAATTTCACAATTCTAGACATGCAAATAATATTGAAAGAAACAAGCTTTCAACTTCCCATATCCTTCTTGAATCTGAGTTAAGAAGATGTAAATATTATAGAAACTTACGTAGCCATTGAATTTCTGAACGGCTTCCTGAACTTCTTCGACAGAAGACATAGTAACAAAGCCAAAACCTCTGCTTCTTCCACTAACTTTGTCATATATAACCTGCAAAAGTGTCAAATTCTTTATTACAGACTTACATGAAAGCATTATCCCTCCAACACCCCTAAAAAGCCACCATTACGACACCCACAAAAGCAAAAAAGGTAAAGAACCCCCCCCCCCCCCTCTCTTTCACATTTTACAATAGCAACAGTAGAGGGGATAAGCATACAAACTAAAAGGTTAACATCCCACATCACTATAGTCTATGCAGTAACTATAATTCAATTGTGTTAATTTTCATCTATTGGAAATTCATAGTATACCAAACTCAAATTATACTATGAACCATAAATTCATTCATAAAACAAATTAAAACTACAGACAAACTGAGAACAACTGTAATTCTTCATCTACATGAACCGAAATTAGGTTAAAAACAGTATTAATACTTCAAACCAACACAAAATTACAATCTACTTCATGAAAGTAAATGGAAATTAGGCTTGAGAAGAGTAATTATACCTCAACCATTTCAACGTTTCCAGCAGACTCAAACAACCCAGCAAGCGCGGCGCTATCAACGGTAAACGGCAAGTTACCCACAAAAAGTTTAAGGTCAGGGGAGAAATTCTGCTGCTGTTCGTCATCTCCATCACTGGATAACCCTTCGTCCAACTCCAAACCAGAGGAAACGGCTACATTACGGATGATTCGAGATGAAGGTGTGGCCTCAAAGAGCTTAGCGGAAGTGGGTACCGAGAAAAGCTTAGGAAGGGGCTTAAGGGAGGAAGGGAAGAGGTAAAGTGAAGCGGGTGAAGGGGTTTTAGAAAGAGAAGATAGGGTTTTAGAAGAAGCTAGGGATACAAAATGAAGGGAAGCTGCAGTGGAAGACATGGCTATGGGGTTTGAGAAACTTGAAATTCCTTAGCACAGAGGATAAGGTTTTTGCTAAGGGGATGAGGGATGGCTTTGGATTAAGAGAGACTCTTTTATAGGGTTACGCTGGGTCGTAATGGAGGCATGGGTTGACCCGACACGATCCATTAACATCTTATCTCTTCAGAAGACCTAGGGTTAGGGTTTCAACGGTTTGAAGCTCTGGATCTTTATGTTTTTCTATTTATGTATTTTTTGAATACTTCTTAACTCAACAATTCACCGACCAAAAGATATACAAAATTTAACCCAAAAAATGGAAGCACCGGTTTATTTTTATTAATTATTGATTTATAAAATAAATTTTGATTTTTTCTGGTAATACTGAACTTGTTAGATCATATATTTTCTTAACTGTGATGTTCGGGCTATCTCATTCGTATATCGACTATATATAACAGTATGTTGATCATATGATGTTGAAATATAAAGATATGGATTATGTTATGTGGATGTGAACTTAATAAGTCCACTGGAACGTGTTTTATCTTTAAGCTAACCACCCTTAGTAAATTATCAATATCAACAACTGTTATTTGACTGTTCCATATAGGTCGTTGTTTACGACATGTTTGCCTTCACCTTGATCCAATCGCTATCAAGGTTTGTTTTTGAAGATAAATTTGCATCACTAGAACCAACGACGATGGGTTGTTGGTTTAAGTTGTCAGTCGTTGTGGAATAAGAGGGCTACGATGCCATATTTGTGATTCGAGGTCATGGTGTTAGGGGAGTCACTTTTTCGTCATCGGGAAGAAAAGGGACTGGGCGACAGCCAATTGCGGGTGAAAGTCGTCAAATGACGCCTGATGCATAAAACAACATATTAGGGATGTAGTGATTATATAATGCATCCTCTCTAGTTTATTAGGAGCGCTTACATGCATGGTTATAAGGTCGCATAACCTCGTTACATGTGTTGTTACATTATTGGTTTACTTGTTTGATATAATTATCGTGACACATCGTATATTCTTTGTGATCCGTCTTGTTTCCCATTTCCATTATTGGATCATTTACACACATTTTGAGTATGTGAGACTTTTGTATGTCACATTTGTAAAATCTCAACAATGACTTATCTGTACTGTTTGGTTTTGAGAATAAAACTAGGTTCGTGCACGTGTTTTGCAGATCTAGTTGCCAAAATCATGTGTATCTATTTATTATTGTTGCTTAAATATCCAGTGAAAAATTTAGATTACATGATAATAGCAGCTAAGATACGAAGCTTTATTTAAATATATATTATATATGTGATATTTATGTTTAATGGAACACTTATATGATTTCATATCGAGTGAATTATGGATTAGGATTTCATACCAAATAGGCAAAAAGACTAAAACAATAACATTATCTTTAATATAGTTAATTATTTAATTTAAACAAATCAAATCATAGAGATATCTTAAGGACCGTTTACCAAATACTTACCCGATAAATGTTTACCGGTAAAATTTCAACTATTATTTGTTTACTGGGTAAGATCTTAGTCCACCAAAACGACATCGTATATATGCAACAATTTATCCGGTAAGCGCTTACGGTGGTAAGATTTGTCGCCCTCGCCTCACATACCAGGTAAGACTCTTGGTCCTTGTTTTGCTTTTACCGGATAAGATTTTTGGTCCTCACCATATTCATCCGATAAGATAATGTAACCTGGATAAACATTTATTAGCCAAAGGTTATGTTGAGAAGTGGTAAATATTTTAGAAGTAAAGAAGTGATCTTAGCTCTTCATACGATCATGACATGATTTGATTGGTCAATAATTACAACTTTGATTGATCAAAAATTGACGCTATGTAGAAAATAGATAGGATAGTTTCGTAATTTTTACAAATATGCGAAAATGGGCTCATATGTGAACCTATATGATTCACATATCAACTATATCTTCATATATGAACTCGTATAATTCACATATAAACTATTTTAACTGATTCACATATGAACTAATTAACTGATTAATATATAAATTAGTTAAATAGTTCACATGTGAACTAATTAACGGATTCACATATGAACATATCGTTCATATGTGTATCACATTGGTTCACATATGAACCCTTTTGCCGCCTACTTATAAAGATTACGAAACTACGCCTCTAGTTTCCACACACCCATGTGAGGAATTGTCCGGTGTTTCACCATCAAAGCAGCAAATATTAACCAGATGAAGGTTAACAAGTTAACAAATTCATTTTTAATGGTTTTAGTCAAATAAAATTGAGACGAAATTCATAATAAACATACCATAGATAAAGACCATAGTAAAAGAACATCCCAATCCATAATTCACTATTTCATATTATACAGATATGTCATCTTCCTTGAAGGATCTCGAAGCCTGGTATCGCTCGCAAAGAAGATAAAACCGTCATAACCACCATCTGGCGTCCAATCCTAACGATGGTCACTATAATTAAAATCAGATAAAAACGTTAAGAGAGTCATCTAGAAAATAGATAAAACGTTGTGTTTGTCCTTTATTCATAATATAAAGAACCTTAGCAAATAAGTCGCATCTTATGGCTTAATGGCTATGGATGGTACCATCTCCCTCTATTTCTATTTGGATTGCATTAAGTTTAGCAGATTAATCTCTCTCCGATATTTCAAAGTTTGGATAAGAGCTTCTGGATCATATTTTCACGTGTGTAGATATTTCAGTTAAGCAAAACAGATTAGATTGAATAAAAATCTAGGATCCGAATGTTGGGTGGTGTAAAGGCCACATCTCATTCTCATTCTTTTAAATCATTCCATGGAAGAGACAAAAAGGGGTGTAGCAGACAACTGTCAAAATAATTAATTGCTCCCAATAGGTCTGATTGAGACACAGATTTTCAACCATTTTTTTATCAACTTTTTTTCTTTTTCACTTGTTACTAATAAAATCTAACTATAAGATATTCAAGATCAAACTGCATTGGATTGGACTGGAGATTTTGACACCTCAAAATTTGGGTATATGGGTTAGCAAGGGAGTGATATCTGGATATCCAATTTGCACAAGCTAAGAGAATGAAACAGTAGATGAACCAAAAAGAGGAGGCTGTCAATTGGCCAAATAGCAGCTGCCTGCATTAATCCTCCTGGAACCCAAATGGCTTCTGCAAACAATCTGAAATAGGATCCAAGGTTCAAAGACATGCACCACGCACCCCTGCTTCTGAGAACCCATACTAGTAGACTCATCTGAGAAATTATGGCTTAGGAACTTGCCTCTTAGATACTGGGATGCTTTTTTTTACAAAATTGACGAGTTTTCATGTGGAAAGATCTTGGGCAAATAGGCGCTGGGGTATGACAGTTGGGAGAGATCGACACAACTAATCCCGACTAATGTGGAAGGTTGTGAGCTTCATTCTTGATGGTCCTATGAACAGGGCTAAGTCATATGCCAAAGCCATGGGATGTAAAATAAATGGGTATGGGAGCGTTCCAGAAAATTATAATCAACTGTGTTTGTTTTTGGATTAATTTTGAAGCAATGGCTGAATTAAACAAGCCACCATGAATCTGGTGTCTACATTTATTTCATCTTATTCCATATAGGAGTTAATAGGGAGAGAAAAGAAGCAAACCTCTTACAATCAATGTAGGACGCACGTCACCAGCAATCACCCTTTTGGATCCAGTTTTACTAGAATACACTAGTCAAACCATCATTCACACCCATAGGTAATTTCGATCGCCAAACATATATAACTAAAAAGTCACCACTATTCATAGTCGTGATGTGTTCAAAAATACCTTAAAATGTTCGTTTCTGGTAATAAGGGTAGATTGCATGGATCTCAACAAAGAAATTCTATACCTGCATCACCTTCTCATAGTATAATCATAACAAAAAACTAAGGCATGCGATACAACGAATCAACAATCTGAAGAAGCATGGAGCATTGAGTTTTTCAACCTCAAAACAATAGTTAACACTTGGAACTTAAAACCCAGAAAGAAACGATAAATGGCATTGATTAATAAGATGAGAAACACAGGAAGATGCATTAATTACCATTTGGCTGGAGGCTATAGAAGATTAAAACAGGCTCCATAAAACAATGCAAAACTGGTTCTCAGGTGCATAACTAAACCACAAAATTCTGCTCCTGTTAACAAAGAATCAAGAACTTCTATAGTGACAGAAGATCAAACAAGAATATAATGCTCTATGAAAAGAGTTCCAACTCCTGAACTGAAACGGTGAGGTGCATGTTACAATAACTCTAGCAAAGTTTATTATGTGAAAAAGAAAACGTTATAATTAACCATGGAATAACTCACCTTGGAAATTACAGAAAAAGCTATGAAAGTCAGGACGCAACTGATGCTTGTTTCTTGGATTTCTTGCCTCCCATACCTTTTTCCTTACCCATGATCATCCTAGATAAAATATCGGCTTGTTTTGTGTTTCCCTGTTCGTTGAGAATCTTGATCAACTCTTCACTGCTACTTTTATCCGTAATACCCCCTTTCTCTTTTATTTTACATAGAATCGAATAAGCATTAAGGGTCTTTCCAGCAGCTAAAAGAGCATCCAACACCTTATCATAGGTAGAGAATTCAACATTATAGTCTCTCTCTAAAACAAAATCTAACAGCTTAACAGCAGCGATTGTCTTTCCTTTCTCACACACAACAGATAACAAACTATCAAAATCAGGCGGAAATTCAGCATTCATCAACATGTCAATTCGTCCTAGAGCTTCCTCAACGTGACCCCTCAATAGAAGTGCTTCCAGTATTTTGGAAACCAAATCCATGTGCTCTTTCACCCTCTTTTCGACCATGATCTTCATCACCCGACTAGCTGTTTGTACCCTTCCATCTTCAAATAAGCTCTCCATCACTGATCTATAGAGCAATGAATCCGGTTGATGACCGTTTTCCACCATTGAATCTAGAGCTGTTTTGGCATCAGATGGCTCTCCTTTTCTCAAGTAGCTCTCGATAAGCAACTTGTAAGCACTTTCTTCGGATGGGACATTTCTCCGCATCATGATTTTTAGAAGTTCAAAAGCTGAATCCGGAGAGCCTTCTTTTGAGTGGCCACGAATTAGACTATTAAAAGCTACTGGATCCAAAACCCCCATTTTCATCAACTGTCGAAATAAAGTTTCAGCTTTACCAGTCATGCCATTGTTGCAGAGATATTCAATCATCGGGTTATATGCAGTTGACTCCAACTCCAATGTACACTTTGAGTTCAACACGATTCCTTGCTCTATAAGTTGATCTAACAACTTAACGGCTTGATCGTAGACCCCAGATTTGCATAAATTCTCAATTAAAACACCAAAATGTCCAGCCTCTGGGGTGACATTCAAAAGTATCATAGATTTAAGCATCTCTGCAGCTCCATCCAGATTACCAGCCTCACACTGACCAGAAATCAGCCGTAAAAAGATAGAATTGTCCTTTGGGGCAATATGACGATGGACCATTTCCTTCACAATGGTGTATGCATCGGGCATCTTACCAGCATCACAAAGCCCTGGCAATAGAGTCGAATATGTAAAAGCATTCGGTTTAATACCAAAACTTTTCATCTCTTCAAACACCTTCATCCCATCATCTACTCTGCCAACCGTAACATACCCCTTAATCATAGTGGTGTAACTTATCACGGTTGGTTCAATATTTCTTCCTTTCATCTCCACAAATAACTTCTCGGCCTCCTCTGTCTTCTTAACCCGATTAAACCCATTGAGCATTGTATTGTAAGTAACAACATCAGGGGAAATTTCTCGACTTTTCATATCTTCAAAAAACCTATTTGCAGTTTCAACCCTTGAGGAAAGAAAAAAGCCCCAGATCATAAGATTATAAGTGTGTCGATTAGGGACAATACCTTCACTTACCATCTTATTGAAATACCTTTTTGCCATCATATACCTCCCTCTCCTCATTATCACCTTAAACAAAACATTATACGATTTTATAGTCCTTGGCACACCCAATTCCTCCATGCTCCTAAAAATCTTCACACTTTCCTGAACAATGCCCGATTTCCCATAACTATCAATCAAAACAATGAACAAATCCTCATCCCATTTAAGACCCTTTTTAGGCATATCCAACAAAATGCACCTAGCATGATTAAGCTTTGAAGCTTTGCCCAAAATATCAATGATCTTATGGTGTGTTTCTCGATCATGTTTAAACAAACCCGACCGCTCAACCCACCGGAAAAATTGTAAAGCATGATCCGGGTTTCTAGCACCATGCAATACATTGTAAACAAGATTATGATCAAAAACAGGAACTAAATTTCGGATCGAGTTCTGTAAACGGGTCGTCCATGCCCTATTTGCCATCATTCTACAAATTATATCTTCGATTTTTTCTGGGTTTCGATGGTTACCTCTTGGGATTCTCGATTCGCCATTCTGGATCGTCCTGGTCCTGGATTGTGCTTCAGGGGTCGACACAAGATTCTCAGCATTTGGTTCCTGATACGAATTGGGAGTTTCCGGTTCTGGTTGCTCTTCATTTGGGGGTTTATCTGGAGAAGACGAGGAGCAGAAAAAACGGAGGGCTTTGAAGGGATGCTGTGTATTGGAAATTCTTGCGAGATTAGAGAAGAAGCTGTGTTTCAAGATATGGGGTTTTGATGCAGAGATTAAAGACATCTTTTTGATGTTTCTGAGAACCAGGATTCAGGATGGGAGTAAGGGCTGCGAATGGAGGAGCGCTAGGGTTTTAGAATTGAGTTCAGGAGCTCGTATCCGAGTCAACCCAACCCTAACTCAAGCATGCTAAAAAGATTCTTCTTTCATCTTTTTGTTTTGGGTAAAATAAATTTCGTCTCATAAAAATAACGAATTATTTCTTTTTCCTAAATATGATATCAAAAAAAAATTATTATTTATTAATTAAAACCGGATGATTTTACTAGGGGTATAAATGATGTAAGTCGAGCTCGAGTATCATTATACTTGACTCGAACTCGAAACCCAATTTTCAAGCTCGAACTTGACTCGAAAACTCGCGAGTAGTAAAAATCAAAGTTCGACTCGAACTCGATAACTATTTCTCAAGCTCGAACTCAAATCAAGCTCGAACTACAACTAAAATCAAGCTTAAACAGGAACTTGAATCAAGCTCGAACCAAACTCAACATTGAAATTTATAATATTAGGTAGTTTGACTCGACTCAGCATAGAAAGGAGCGAGAGTTTTACTTAGTAAGTGAGAAGAGACTCTTATGCAATAAGCGCTTATCGAGTTTAAGACGCTTACCAATAATCTATTTTGATGATCGAAAATATTACACGATAAGGTAAGTGAGGATGGCTCATGTCCGTAGACACTTACCATGTAAGAATTTGGTAAACGGCCCTAAATATGAAATGTTTTGAGGTGTAACAATAAGCATGGTAGGTTTATATGTGTGAAAATTGGAACTTTTTAAAACATTAAAAATGTTTGACAGACTGTTTAATGACCAACTTTATTGGACCAAATAATTGTGTTTTCTATGTAAAAACGTTACAATTAGTTTATAGGACGATATGTTTTATAATATTCTCGAAATAAAACATCTTATTAATTTTTTTATATGCCATTAAAAAATTTATAAAATCAAATGTCTTATAAAAAAATTAATACGATATTTTATTTTAAAATATTCTGAAAAACTTGCTAAGACATTCAAAAGTTTCCTATAATATTGCAACACCTTTACATAACAGGCACAATTGTTTGGTCCGTCTACCCACTATAAATTTAAATTCTATAAAACTTTATATTAAAACGTTATAGGGGTCATTTATCAAACGCTGACCGGCAAAAATTACCAACCTCACTTAACTTATCGAGTCATGTTGTCGGTCATCAAAATAAATTGTTTGTAAGCGTCGGGTAAAAGTCTTTTCCTTCAATTAGCAATAAGATATCTGACACCAATAAACGTTTGATAAACAACCCTTAAACATCTCAAATTACATTATAGTGAAACATATAATGGCTTACAATATATTTTGTTCTGTCTAAATTTAAGTTGATGATTGATACTCTTGTCCTCAAAACCTAAGAAATGTTTCATCTCTTTTTATGTATCAAACAAGAACAAATTAAAATAAGAAAAAAATGAAATTAGTCAAATTACATATGATTTCACAGTCAACGCACCCGGTGCACTGGTGACTTGGCACGCAACCTAGGTTGTGGCCAAGGTCATCCGTAAACATGTAATTTTATACGTGAGTTTAGTGTAAAATTAAATGTGTTTTGGTTGTTCTTGTATTCTTTTATTTTGTCACTGTTCTCGTTTGAACTCGATTCTATACATGTTATATATATATATATATATATATATATATATATATATTTCAATGTTTCATAAGAATTAGTTAACTTCAAATATATTGCCTCTGGCAGCCAGTGAGAGTTAACAGAATGAAGGTGGTGTTTCCAGTTAAAAAGATGAATACTACAACCAAAAGAAGTAATGTAATTAAGATGGATGATGTTGCCAAACAGGATTAAGATGCTATGGACTAAGCTCAAATTACAGCAATCAAAGCATTCAAATCACAGAAATCTCATGGCCTTTATTTGGCTTAATCAAATCTTAATTTTCTAATTCCTGTATTACAACTTAAAAACAATGGTTTTTACAACATCATTCATATATATATATATATATATATATATATATATATATATATATATATATATATATATATATGCTCCTTCACCAAGCTTTAAAGAATGAAAATCAAACCAAACCCAGCAGGATGTATGCGGCGGACCTTACTTCTTCTGTCTTTAAGAGATAAAGAAACTATTTTCAAAAGAATGGATTGAAACAAGCTGCATAACTAAAAAATGCTAACTAACTACAACTGCAAATCTGCAACTATACATCATGTCACGTTCCATTTTATATCGACATGTATCACCCCATTTCGTGAGTTAATAAGATGGTACTTCTCGTTGATACAATTGTTATAAACTACGTCAACAAGTTGGATATCCACATGCCCCAACCTTTCCTGCATATTGATTATCAGGTGTTATATGGCATCCAATATTTGTTGTTTTTGTTGTTTAAAGATGGTTTACCTTTGTCAAGCCAAATCCAAAGGCTCTATGCTTCCGTTTGCTTATTATTTCAATGTGGACCGTCTCCTCCAATGGAGCTTCATCTAACATAAACTGGAATTCTTCGTTCCACTTTGGATCCCGAGTTTTCTTTAATATCTATGATTCAAAATACCAAATCAAACCATTTGCTAGCTTAAGTCAAGCATGCTTATAAACAATTTAAACAAGTCAAATATTAGGATATCTGGAATCTTAGTGAATCTCTCTCTAATAGAGCCTTTATAGTGAGAGAGGATGCTCTACAATGTAGACCCTAGCTTTAATAACGTGTTAGGATATGTGGAACCCTTTTTAAATCTCTCTTCAAAAGAGCCCTTATAGTGAGAGAGGATGTTCCTACATATTTACAGGTTTGATGGTCTTTGTCTAGCTGCGACTCCACCACCAAATGTGCACTTAAATTGGTTAGACAATAGCTTATGAGTCAAAGTGTTTATACAAGTGCTTCTTGGATAGCTACAAATATGAACTCACCTTGGTTTTTCTCTTTTCTCCTTTAAAGACCACTAAAGCATAAGGATTATTGTGGTGTTTCCCTTCGACGTCCTCTGCGCCAATCACGGTCACCAAAAGTAAACCTGCTCTATTCATGAGTGAATTCTGAAACGTTTTTGGAACGGATTCCCTCCTCATATACAAGTCGATAGGTCCATTGAAGTTTATGGGGTCTTCCATGAAAGGAACAAAAGTTAACTCCACAGTAATACTTCCTCTTGGCTTCTTGTTGCATTCATCATTGGGATCTAAGTTTCTAACCAAATCCACAGTAAACTCCTTTGTCTCCTGCGGTGCGAGCAGCTTCAATGGGATAACCTGCATTCCTAATTTGTCATGCAACCCAACCTGCACAAGACGGATCATGATCAAAATGCATCATCAGCTTTTATTCGTATGTTACTAGATGACATCCGGGACACCCACAAAAAAAGAAAGATCATGAAGGCAAGTTTCACATCTTGATGTCAAAAAACCTCAATTTCCAACTTCAAATTTGAGGAACATTCAACGAATTTCAAGAAATGGAATCCCTCATAACACAAATTGTACCTTTTCCCAGTCATATACATGGAGTTCAAGGACCTGAGACTGAGGATCTTTTACAGTAAGTCTGAATTCTTCATTCCATTCAGGGTTCAAATTCTTGGTCTTTATAGAAGTCTTCTTCGAAGGAAGCTTCTCTCCACTGAGACGGAGCTGAACATATGGATCAGAGGTTCCGATTAGGTCCATCTTCAAGAGTTTGTTTGCCCTTACAACCTTCACACGCAGTATACCCACAGGTTTCTTTGCTGCACCACTATCCCGATATCATGATTACCAAATGTCTCAAGATTTTCTTGATCGTGTTAAGTTCTTGATATAAGATGCAAAAAGTGTAGCCATTGCAAATGAAGTACGAATAACATCAAAAAGCTTACATGGAAGCGTCAAGAATTGGTATCTCCAATGCTTGGGGCCAGAGATAAAGACTCGCAACTTGTTTCTTAATTAATTTCTGCCATTGGCCAACATTCACACCGATTACCCAACGAAACTTTATGATTCAATGAAACAATAAAACAATGTGAAAAAATGGATAAAATGAGCACCTGAATGAAATGATAGAGTCCCGGGATCGCCATTAGATCACCCCCCATTACTTTCAGCCCAAAATCTACTTCCGGCTAAACATACACAACAAAATATTCATCCAAGTATTAATACAATAATGCATTGTTCAGAACTGTATTCAAAATCATGCCTACCTTATCCATTATAGAGACGGTAACATTTGAAAAGCACGGGATGGTTGGCACGAATGGTTTCAGAGTCACCCGCAATGCTGCAGTTGTTTGTATATCTATCAACTGACAGAAAGCAAGGCCATTAGATAAATTGCATTTGTAACTAAAATGAAAGGTTACTCAATCTTGTTCTCGTAACTTTTTATACCTAAATTGAACATATGTAATTAATATATATGTGAAAGAACATTAACACCAGGAATCTTGCCATAGGAAACGCATGAAGGGTGAACTAGCAAGCATGCCAGATTTCCAACCACTAAAAAAATTCTCATGTACTTTATGACATAAGAACCAAACTCTTCTAACCTGAACTTTGATGGGTAGAAATAATATGTTCAAAACCAGAGTTATGTTGGGATTTCCAGCCCATTTAGCAACAAACTCAAAGATAAGATTGTCTGCATTCAATATATGTACTTTCATACCTGCCAAGTACAAGAAGAGCAACCTAAAATCATTAAGCAAAGTGCCTATTGAAAGACTTATGGGAAGCATTTGGAACATTAATCAGTAGACTGATGAACATACCCTGAAATATAGGAGGAAGAGTTCCAAGGGTAAGGCTTTCAAAATCTATGGATCTTATTGGAAACATACCAATATAATCAGAAAATATAGGTTTTGACATGCTTCTGATCATGCCACATATTGCCTATACAAGAATGAAATAGATGTGAGATGGGTTATATTTTATATATATAACAAACCAATCTTCTTGGAAGGCCCAAAATCCTCAGAAATCAAATAAATGAAAAATCTCTCTAAATGTTGCATCACCTTGTCAAGATAAGGCCACATATCACGAATTACACCATTCAGCCAGTCGACCTGTATGATGATAAAGAAACCATGTTGCATTGTTCTCGAGAACATACACAATGAAACAAAAGAAGATGGCAAATAAGAGTGCTTAAATGCGATACTCACTCGTTCATAGTCTGGTTGTTTCACCCACAATGGAAGCTCGGGTAGAATATCAATCCAAGAATCTGTATCGAACTCCTGAAGCGTCCTAATGAATGGATTCTGCAAGTGTAAGTTGAGAAAGCTCTAACTGAATATTTTAACACCAGAATACCCAATTCAAATGATGATTGTTCTATGAATACTTCCTAATGAAAAGCTATGTTCAATTCTAGAGGACAAAAGTAGTCATCTGTTTAAAGAGCAATTTGAGTGAGGCATTCTTTCAAACAAATGCTGCACTTCTTAACAAAACGCTACAGTTTCAGCCATGTTCATTTATAAAAACAAAACAAAACCGTAATGCTGCTTAACACATTCATTAATCAAACACGAATTCACATTGAAATACAGCAAAAGAACCCGTGCAAATCACTGGTTCAACACGCAAAACATGCTAAAAAAGCTGAATCATAAAATTTATCGACAAAACAATAAGCTGAATCTTGAAATGATGATCCGTTATTAATTAATTCTCATCCAAGGTATCTAAACATCAGAAGTGATTTCTTATCGCAAATAATCAACTAAGAAACAAGGACCAGAGTAATCACCTTCACATCTGTAGGTTCTGTCTGTATAAAAACGAGAAAACCCAAAAAAAGACCGAAGGGAATTCCAGTCACAAACCCGATAATTCCCAATAAGCTACCAAAAAAGCTCATCTTAATACAATTTCATTTGGGTTATTCAAAAGAAGTCGATCTTGGTTTCTGAATCATATGATGATTGGATCATTGGTGTCAAACAATGAAATACGAAATCACTTGGTGAGAAATAAAACCCATGAAGGATATGATATGATTAGATGGTGTATGGCTTGCAAGATTGAATTTTGAGTTGGTTTAGCGTTAACGTAATGCAGGAGTGTAGGATGAAACACGATTAAAAGACAAAATTCAGCTTTTGTGGGAAGCAACAGAAAACAGAAAGGGGGAATAAGAACAGAGAAAGTGGGACCTGTTGAGTCACATATCCTTCCCCCATGTTTATCGTTATATTATTTTCACCCCTTCAAAACAAATTACTTACTAAATACATATTTACGGATGTAAGACATCAATCCTCAATGGCCACAGTTATTGTAAACACCTAGAATCCAACCCGAGGCATCCCTCGAGCCTCAACCGCTATGTCATAACCCTAACGGTGTAGAGTTGTTTGTTGTTATAATGCTCTCTCTATAAACTGATTTATATATGTATATATACTTATCAAACATGAGAACACGAACCAAATCATTAAATAAAACCACAAGTTACTTAAGTCGACAAACAACTTACATGTTAGAACGACATAGTGTAAAAGAGTTGATAAAATCATTGTGTTCATGTTTTGATGTTACGGAAAAGATGATGGTAAGAAATAGGGAAGTTAATGAAATAATAGCAAACTACAAGGGTGATTTATGAAAATATTTCTAAATAAAATATGCATATTGTGACAGAGTATGTCCAAGACTTGTTCATCGCGACTTTTCAACACCATTACACCACAAGTTTTCCCTATCAACTTTCAAAAATGTTCAAAAATCACATGATTTTGAGATAATTGTATCATATACATTTTTAAATGTCACATTGTTTATAAATAAATAAAAAATAATCAACTACAATTATATTTCACTCAATGCTTATACATTCTAACCACAAGTTAATTCACACAACCAGTTTTATACAGACAGATTAATTCACACAACTAGTTTTATACATACATTATTTAATGGAAAACCAACCAAGCACAACCTATAATATATAGATATTGTGTCATAATTTAAGGCAATTGGATTTATTTTTATATATTCCAACAAATATACACTTCAGATATAAAAGAGCGGAGCTATAATTTAAGATAATGAAATTATCTTTAGCTATAATTTAAGATAATTTCAGCATCCAAGAGGATCTATACATGTCTATATCATGTGTAAACATATTACTAATTTGGTCATGATGGTTTGTTGGAAACATCATTTTTAGTACTCCACAATTTTGAAATTATGAGATGATCATATGGTTTATAAAAACGTTTGGATTTGGTCCATCCTAACAATCATTAAAAATATTATGTTAAACAAACCACGTTTTCGTCTTTTTATTGATTTTTTTTTTGTCATTCACACAATCAAAAATTAATTTTATGGTTTTTGATTGGGTAAAATACAAAAAAAATGATCAAGGGATAAAACCCCCCGGTATTTAACGAATTTCTTTTAACAACTATTAGAGGATGAATCAAATTCGGATGTTTTTACAAACGAAATAAAAAATGTTTCTGATAGAGACAGTATTTCAAATCATTGTTTACCCACAATTTTGTGTTATGGAAAAGTCTTTGAAGTTTATAATTTGATATTTAGTCCATTTGAAGAAATTTAGACTAATCCCAAGCGTTTTGCATAGTTTATACAATTTAGAATCGTAAGTATTTGACAAGAATTTAAAATCTCAACCTATGAGATGATCATCGAATTTGACATTTGAACTTGAATTAACATCTCCTGGATTAAATTACTAAGCAACAATATGGCCCTCACTGGTAAAGGGACGGAGTGACTTGACTCAAATATACACGAGGTTCAAATTCAAATTCTACAAGAGACGGATTTTGACATTTTTAACTTTAGCTGCTAAGTCAACTCTAAAATGTTTTCTCACGTATAATTCCTAAGAGACAGGTCACATGTAAGATGGATCGGCAAATAAAGCAACAAATCACAAATGAATTAATTAATTAAAACTTGTATCATTGATTAAATACCCAAAATGGAGTGGGTTTTGGTACCTCCACGTCGCCCAACCCATTATGTTATGTAGCACCAAAAGCTAGAATTGGGCCCAATAAGGCCCACCAGACCTTGCTGGACCAACAGACTAACTTCCCCCAATTTCAACACAGCGTTCGGGGGTCAATTGGACTCAAGTCTAAGGAGTTACAAGTTCTCTTTTTGCAATATACTAGAACGGTATTTGTATAATGTATTAAGATACATCTTAATTTTAATATTTTTTTTGTCTCTATCGATGTTATAATACAGGTTTATGTGGTTTTATTTTTGAATAAAATATAAATATATATTATAGAATTTGAAAAAAAAATATTGATATCGATACCAAATTAACTATTTAAAAAAATTTCTCTATATTTTTTTAATTCATTTTTTTTATTTTTGTTTTAATAATATAATTTTTCATAAAGATAATAATTAAGTATTTTGTTAGAACTCAATGATTATTCTAATTATATTTTATATTTTTTATATTTAAAATTAGATTGTATCATATATTTGATTATATTTGTCCATATTTAGTTACACGAATTCAAACATAAAACTTCAATAAGTTGTATCACACAATTTACTTGTAATATTGAATTTTAAATAATATAAATAAATAAACAGTATTTCATGCAATAAAAAAAATGGTTTATGAGTTTTTATCAAATACTTTATAATATAGTATAGATTACTGATATATATTAGTACTTTCATAAGTAGATGAATCACTTAATTCAAACCATCAAACTCAACTTTTGGATTTTAGATACGCTGCCGCTTACGGCGTTTTTGCCCAAATCAGTGACCCTAGGGCCGCCGTTATGGCTTGATTAAGATAATCGACAACCGCACAACTTCATACGCTACTAAAGGAATGATTTGTTACAAATTTGGTACAGAAATTTACTTCAATTCTTCGTCTTTTTGTTTCTAAAACTTGATGGAACCCTAGATTTTCTCTGGACGATTTCTTCCTCGGGGTTCTAGACATTTTCTCAAATCTCCAGAGGGTTTTCATCCTTGAGGGTGCGGTTGGTATGCAGACTACATGGGATGGAACGAGACAAAAAAAAAATAGTCTCATGTTTGGCATGACATGGACAAAAAATACACAGGACAAGATGAGACTATTTTTAAAATTCATGGGACAAAACTTGATATTTTTTGTTCCACCAAACAAGGTGGAACAACATGGGACTGAATATAAAATGACTATATTACCCTTATTTCTTCCATTAAAAAACCTAATTATCCCACCATTTGTGTTGTGAAGTATCGCCTGCTTCATCACAACCTCGTCTTCTTCCACATCGGCTCAATCGTCTACTTCATCACAACCTCGTCTTCTTCCACATCGGCTCAATCGTCTTCTTCCACCATCCTCCATCGCCTCTTCTCCTCTGCAATCGGTACGATTTCTCCATTTCTTCATCTTGCTTCTTTGCCTGCGCACGATTTATATGCTTTTGAAACAGTGTTTCTGTTGGGTTTTCTTAAATCTGCGTATGGACAGCTCAAGTTCTCGTGAATGAGGTTTATGTGGATTTTATTACCTGTAGAAAGAAGCTCCACCTGGGTTTTCACTGGTTGTGATATTGAATTCAAATAGTCTAGAATGCCAGGAAGCAATTTCTCGCAAACATTTTGATGGAGCAGGCTAACAGCACTTTTGATAAGAAGTAAACACATTTGGATGGAGCAGGCTAACTACTTTTGGTAATTAATTACATATTAAGAGTAAGCAGAGCATGTTTAGGTTAGAATGAGGCTCATTCTGTAGCCATTCTTTGGGGATATACACATTATTTGCTTTCCAATCCAACAGTTTAGTGGTTGTGTTGGATGCAATTTGTGGCGGTTTATATGTTTAAAGAAATGATGCATTGTAGCTGAAACCAATTTGTTTTGATATTTGGTATTGTCATTGTAATGAAATATTGTTTTGGTATTTGATATTTGTCTTTGTAATGAAATCTTGTTTTGGTATTTGGTATTGTTTTATAGATTTATAAAAAATGTTCGATCGTTGTGGGTGGTATTGTCGGGTTGGCTCGTCAACACCCTTTTGTCATTTTTTTGGATTTATATTTAATGTATTAAACTTGATTACACAAACTATGTAATTAAAATATATTTTGGTTAATTTGTTGTCATTTTACAATCATTATATAATATAAAATAACATTGAACAACATTTAAGGGTAATATGGTCATTTTAACAGTTTTGTCATGTCCTATCCTAGTCGTACCAAACATAGGACAAACAATTAGTCCTGTCCCGTCTCGTTCTGTCCCGTCTTGTCCTATCCTGTCTAGTTTGCGTACCAAATGCTCCCTGAGTGAGAGACGAATTTATGAGTACAATATTTTAATGGAACGGTAAAGCCACGATGCCCAATTTCAGCGTTTTCTTTCTGCCTCGCAAATCGACGGTTTTCCTTCTTATTTTTGAATTCAACTAGTTTTACAATTTTAGCAAAACAGGTCCTTATACTTACTGATTTAATGTTTAAACCCTCTTTCTTGATATTTCTTTTCATTTCGGTTTTAATTTCTTTCTCGTTTAACCTAAGCCCGATATTCTCAACCCACTAAATATAAATAACAATTCGAAATATTCTTTTGGGGTGTAATAAGCTTTGATTTCTTGTAAATTACATAAATGAGTTTCGATTTAAAACCAACTTCTACATGGTTTTTAAAGATATATTCTTTACGAACAAATATTTAAATCACATGTAATTTATTATATGTTACAGGTAAAAAAATATCTACATTAAAATCAATAATTTATAGGACCAAAAAATAAAATGTTTTATCTAAAGATGTTGTAATAAATTTATAGGATGTTTTGAGGGGTTTTAACAGCTTTTAGGACATTTTTTAATA